GAAAGTATATATGAAGGTCATTGCAACTGAGGATCTAGAGTAAGGTAAATTGTGTATACATTTGCTTCATTGTAGCTAATTCTGAACTATATCACCCAACGTCTCCAACTACTGATCTCGGCTACTACACCGTCACTAGCTAGATAGTCTACATCTACAAATATAGCTCAGTTCAACAGTCAATAGGTTCATAGACTGATAACACGTTCCAGTTTGGCTACTCCTAACTTTTATTGATTTACTCGTACATCGGTTAACTAATAGTTTAAAACCTACTAAATCTACGATTTCTTGCCTTTATGGTCTTTATTAAATTCATAATATAAACTAATACTTCGTTAAAAGATTACCAAAGATTTAATAGAAATGAAAATGTTAATATTTCAACGCAAGTTGACTAGCTGCATGTTTTAGTTGATACTCATGATAATTTGACAATTCTGATTATTGTTGTAACGATTTTCTGTTTACTGTTCTTTCCCTTTATTCAACTGCATTAATATTATTGAGCATGTTTACAGTACGAATTATGTAAATGTTTTCTTGTTTAACGTACAAATATCCTTGTACCCATCTTACTTGACTTTGTTTTGGTATTGGTCACTTATTTTAGGTTAATCCTTATTTATAATGATGTACTGATAATCATCTGAATTGCACTTTATCTCTGGTTTTAGATATTAGTAGCTATGTTATTTTATGTAAATTTACATTTTTAAAAATCTTAATGATTAAAATAAATTAGCTTCATATTATCTTCCGGAGATCATCTGGTTCGAGACTCTTCAGGAAAATAATATATATCTAAGAACTAGAAATATGTCATATTTTTTCCTTAGTAATATTTACTTTCTCTTCTTAGTCCATTATAATCCAGGAATTTAAAAGCAATTAAATATTCCTAGTTTACTCTTTGTAAAATTGATAACCTTTCTTTGGTTCCTCTCCTTAGCAGGCTTTTATATTTTATTGTATGTGTTTTACCATTGTGATGTAACTAGAGGCAATTATCCGGAGACCCTTAACCTAAAGAGTTTCATCAGCCCTGGTAAGTTGGTGTCTGATAACATCTTGGAACGGATCTCGAAAGCTCTCTTGACTTTTGCCAACCAAAGGATGGATGTATTGCTCAGCAGTTCCCTCTGTATTACCTTATTGAATCGGAACGTGGTTTATGAATTTTGAACAAATAAGTAGGTTGTCGGCTTTTATTCATGGATATCTTCGAAACATTGCTCATGTATTATGCGACGATATAATGAACAATGAAACCTGTAGGCATAAGATACTGGGTAAAAATGCCAAATCAGTTGTGTTGTAATTAAATAAACGCCGGCAAAAAATGAATTTACGCGTTTTTAAATGTTTGTACTCAGGGTAATTCGTTTTCAGTTATTGAGTAATTTGTGGAAAACTAGATGTATCATCTTTGGATTTCATCGTCGTTACTGACTAGCTGTTCTGGCATGATTAGTGTTGTACAATAAATCAATTCGGTTTTAATCCATCCTATGTCTTCTTTAATCATTGATTGGATTCCAAGGAAACTAAGAGTTAAGGCGTCAATTCATTTCGTTTTTTCAGCCTGTGACATCAGCAATCTTTTTATTCGATTGTGAAATTCTTCTACTGAAACGTTAGCTGTTAGGTGATAGACTGTTGTTGTTATGTGCTGTACTCTTAAGCGTCCAGTAAATTCATTGAGAATTGTTGATTGAAAATGCGAATCACGGTCTTTGGTAGTGGTTATTAGGATGCCGATGTCAGAAATATAATGGTCGAAAAATAGTGAAGCAGTTAATTTTTGAATGTCATTTGCGCCTATCTGATGAAACAATTCATCACAGGAAACATGTGCGTTAATGATTTAGATAGTGGAAGAGGGCGGAAAATTTCTATGTTGAGATGTTGAAAAGGTCTATCAGATGTTTAAAACTTCCCAGATGTGATGAATTGTGTTGGTGGCCTTGCTTCGTTGACATTAGGTGCAAGTTCTTGTCCATTTTCTGATGCGTTCACTCGTCCTTGGTCAGATAAAACGCTTTGTTCTAAGTTTTACCAAAGCTCAGAAACCTAGATATAATAAAACATGAAGGTGCTAAAGCAATCTTTCTCTGCAAAACATTGTAAACATGTCGAGACTTTGAAATTTTGCTTGCTGTCTACTAAGTTTATTGTTTTTTTCGAAAATTCTGTTAAATGATCTGTATATAATCAACTGTAATTAAATAAATGTCAGTCCCAGAATTTTTTGAATATGAAGAATATCATGTGACAAAAAATGTACACACTGACAACTTGCCTCAATCTCCAAATATCCAAGTATTAGGACTACTTTGCGTGTTTCAAATTTGTTTTAATTCACCTCGAATGCTCCTGAATAGCACTAATTTACTGTTGCACTTATACGAAAGGCTTGGATTATTGTATCATAACTACATGCTGTGAAACTCAATTAGAGTGACATTGTTTTGTGCCCCTTTTCGTGTCAATCATATTCATCGTATAAAATAAGTTGAAATCTGAGTTTTTTTATAACTTTTTTCTGATTGAAAAAGCATGGTTCTTTACCTTTCAATACCACTAATCAATCATTAGAAGAAATCCTAGTTGAAGTATACGTCAAAGTTCATTGTCATAACACCCAAGTAGTTATTCATAATTTTCTAAATGTTGAAAACGTATGATTATGTATTCTCACTAGTTGAGATCATGATATAATTGAAGCTAGACCACCATGGAAAACCTGGAAACACTGGACGGCCGTTTCGTCCTGTTGTGGGACTTATTAACAGTGCACATCCACGCCCCCTCCCCGCGAGATTCGAACCCAGGACCTATCGGTCTCGCGCGCGAACGTTTAACATCTAAACCGCTGAGCAGGTGTTAATGTCTAACTTCAACTAATCCACCATTGTCATCAGTGAGTTACTATCTCACAATTTACGCGATTAAACTCCACTGGTCACTGCTTCTCACTAGAACTCCAGGATATACATCTGTATGCCAGTCACTAGTGAGCATATGTTGATTAGTATCAGAAGGGGTCTTGTGGAGATTGTAACAGTGTTTCCAGGTTTTCCATGGTGATCTAGCTTCAATTAACTCATGATCTCAACTATTGAAATTACTACAATCTCCACAAAACCCCTTTTGATTATCTATTCATGATCTGTTACAAAGTTTTAAAATCATCAGCTGTTTGTCTGAACTGTGTCGATAGTTGTTAAAGTTCATTAAATAACCGTGATCTTTTTTGAGTTATTTCATTTGAAATAACTCAAAACCAGTCATATTGACCAAGCTCAAATCAACAAATATTTAAGTTTTACACTGATTGTTTCTGTAAATGTCTGATTACCATTTTATAATTACCACGATGTCAGTATCTAATATATATTCATAAATTGTTAGTGTAGATCCATAAAGAGTGAATAAACTTTATTCATATCGCTGTGTTTAATGTATATTGCTGTTTAGAGTAAAATTACTGAGTATAAATAATGATAGAACACATGTAATTGTACTAAAATTTCTATTAAAAGGTGTACACTTATTTTTAATGTTATCTGTCAATCAGTAAAATCTAACACAAATCTGTATTGGTCCCAATCGTCACATGTATTACCTCAGAAAACAAACGAGAGTACAAATTAAAGTTCTGAAACCCCAAAAAGTCATTATTATAAGTGTATAGAACAGTTCAAAAAGACCAAATGATGAAATTGACGAATAAAATTAAAGATTTAGAAGAATATAAAAAAGAAATATAAAACGGTCAATGCTGTGCAGAATTCTTGATGGGGTTGTTATATTCAGTAATGAACAACTAACAAACTATTTTGAAACAGTCTTATTTTTATTTGATTTTCTATATATATTATAACCTTGTGGATTAGACCCTTAGGTCGAAGGCTCCGGGTGTGGCACCCTAAGAAAACCACGTGCTTCGATCTGGGCACCCGAGCAGTATCACAGCTCATACACAAATCAAGTGACTTGTATGGCGCATATGTATTCGGTGCCCCTTTGTACCAATATATGTGTTCAAATAAAATAATATAATGAAATGCCCATCTATCTTTCCATCTATTTAATGATAATTTGAAGTAACTCATATACTAACTATAAGTTTATGTACTCGACTTCGAGGTGCATTGTGTATTTGAGCTTTTACTTATTGTCCATTTGTCGAAATCAAAATAGGTATAGTGGATTTCTCACCTAAAATCTACCAGTCAATTGCTTTAATTAATAAGACACGGATGTCATACAGTATTATGTAGACAGTCTTCTGCTTTACCTGAGCGTTCAAAATGAGGTATAAGAAAATATTTATTCCTAATTTACTCTAGTATTCAATGAAGTTAATTTCCAGAAAAATGCATTACTAGTAGTAATCAAATCAGTAATTTCATGTTTGAATGTATGTCCTTTATCTTCTATGATAGTGATTGAAATAATTAAATTGAGAAAAGCAATCAAGATCATTAGATAATATGGAGTGACTGGCCTAGTGGTGAGAATACTCGCTTTTTAACTGACAGGTCGTAGGTTCAAATCTTTCTTCGCCTACTTCAGTTTTGCAAGTGCGTATTATCAATATATCTCAAGTAAAAGAAGTAGCTCATGGCCGAGTATATCTTGAGGGGACTGATGCTCTCTGCCAGATTCTATCCCGTGATCAATCAGTTGTAAATCTCTGTTATTGATTGTTTAATTAACCTGTGCATGTCTCTTTTCTTCCTAAGGATTATCACCAGATTTAGATTGGTAATGAAAAAAAGATAGCATGCAAAATAGTACTCTCATCAATAATATCCAACTTCCGATGAGTTCGTGCCTTGATTTAACTAAATTGTAAACTCTCTAGTTGCTTCATTCCTGAAACGAAGGTTTCTTACTCAATAAACACACATTTGGTTTAGTTTTGTCCTTTTTTTAAATCGTTGCTTCTCCACAACTGTTCATAAATTTTCCTGATTTTCCTTTTAATTCAGCTTGGGATGGTCACTTTATCCTTATTTCGTACAATATTAAGCTTTCACTGTGAAGATGTTATGTATGAGTTAATATTCAAGTGAGTTGATTTATTTATTACTCTTAATAGATTTCTTAACTATTATAACTTGTTGGTGAGAATACTAAGAATTCACCATATGAATTCTGACATTTTCATACCAAATGTTCTCTCTGGTCCATCAATAGACTCCATTGTTACAGACATTTATGCTCGTTTGTTGTTTACTCTATCAGGTGTTTGAATTTAAAGTACCACATCATGGATTCGAAATTTCCTGTAACTGATTTCAATCTTGTGTTATACGTAAATTTGCAGTATAGGGTTGTGGAGATTATTAATTTTTTGATTGAGATCATGAACCGACTGATGTTATATCACAATTGAAAACCTGGAAGCACTGAACGGCCGTTTCGTCTTATTATGGGACTCCTCAGCAGTGCACATCTACGATCCCGCTTGCGGGATTCGAACCCAGGGCCTTCAGTTTTGCGCGCGAACGCTTAACCTCCAGACCATTAAGCCGGCATCCAACGGTGTTAATGCCTAACCTCAACCATCTTCCAGTGCTTCCAGGTTTTCATTGGTGGTCTGACATCAATCGGTTCATGATCTCAATCAAAAACTCGTAAATTTCACCTAACATATGTATGACTATAAGTTTTGTGCACAAAAATCAGTTCAATGCAACTTAAGTGTCTATCATTTTGAATCATTAAATCTCATGATTAGATTTTTGCTTCATTTACTTTATTTAAGTTTTCGGAGTTTAGAAATAAATTGATGAACTTATCAGGAAATGTGGGTTTTCTTGTTGTTTGTTAATAAATGTTACTTATTTTCGGTAAGGATAACTTCGATGTTTACTTATTCTGTTACTTAATTTAGCATGCTTCCAGATGATAAAGATTGCTAATAGTCCTATAAATATGCTTGTTTTTTTGTACATTTATGAATCTTGAAGTAAAACTTTTCTCCTTACTTTGCGTCTTTTCTCTACCATACTGAGCTCAAGTGTGAGAGAAGTCTACAGATCTAGCAAGTCAATGTCAAGTAATCGAGTTGTGGACCTATCACATATCTATAATAATACAATCATAATTGATCATATCCATGATATGTAAATTTATATCGTTTAGCGGCGGATACAACACCAATATTACTCTTATGGTATTTCATATGGTTAATGAACTTGACCATGGAAATCTAGTTATATTTTGCTTCACAAAAGCAGGTGTGAGATCCACTTTACTGTTTGTACTTTAGTTTATTGAAAGTGATCGTCAAAAATAAACAACATATATATACGAATAATATTGCTTTCATAGATAACACTACTCGTTGATCTTCGTCAGATAACCATTAGAATCCATGAAGCACTAGACAGCGGTTTCTTACTAGTATGGGTCACTCACTAGTCTCCATCTCACCTGGGATCAAACCCAAGACCTCCCCATCGTGAAATTTAGAACAACGCATATTAATGTATGCATCAGTCAGTCAGCTACAACGTAGGACCAGGCACATGTATGCATCGGCCCAGGTTGCCATACCTCATTAGCACAGCAAGATGAACACCGGATTCATAGGAGTGGTTAGGTCAAAGGTGGTAATATATAGGAGAAAGATTGCAATAAGGATATAGTATAGGAAGAAAGAATTAGTTCGTAGAAAGAAAGATGTGAAGTGATCTTAATCTCTTAGTTTAAGAGAAGACAGAGAGTGTATACACCGACGCCATTGTGATCGATTCTGAGCCATGTCACCAAGGGTCTCCAACCATTGGTTACGAAAGTCACGCGGACCCCAACCAAGTAGTCTGCATCTACCAACATGGCTCAGACTAGAAGTTAGTGACTTCAGGCACTGATGCCACGTTTTGGTTTGGCCGCCCCTAACTTTCTTCCAACCATCCCCTACACCGGTTAGCATTGCACGTCGCGGTAATCGGTGTTCAGGCATACGTAATACGTGGCCCAACCATCTCAGTCGATGAAGATTCATAACCTCATCAACTGATTTACCATCATTCCCTAATACCCTGCGTCTAACCTCACTATTACTTACCCGGTGATCCCAGCAGATGCCAGCAATATTTCTAAGGCATCTGTGGTCAAATACTAGTAGCTTACGGGTGTCTTCTACTCTTAAGGGCCATGTTTCGCTGCCGTAAATTAAAACAGAACGGACTGCCGCGCAGTATACTCGTCCTTTTATTGATAGACGGATATCTCGCCTCCGCCAAAGGTGACGTAAGTTGGCAAAAGCCAAACGAGCTTTACGAATCCGTGCTGAGATTTCGTCAGACACCAACCCATTAGGGCTGATCAGACTTCCAAGATAAGTGAAGTTGTCAACGCGTTCGACTACTTCACTCCCTATCCTTAGTTCAGGTGTTGACGCAGACCAGTCCTGAAGCAACAACTTGCATTTAGAGGGAGAGAAGCGCATCCCAAACATTCTGGCATTGTTGCTTAGTGCTACCAGAAGACTCTGCATTTTGTCAGCGTCTTCACCAAACAGGACTATGTCATCTGCGTATTCTAAGTCGATAAGTGGACCTCCTGGAAGGAGATCAATACCCGAGAATTCAGTCGACGAGAGTGTTATTTCCATCAATAGGTCTATGATGAAGTTAAACAAAAATGGAGAAAGTGGGCAGCCTTGACGGACACCACTTGAGGTTGCAAAAGTAGATGACAGTTCGCCATAAGCCCTGACTCGACTAGTAGTGTTCGAGTAAAGAGCCTTCACAAGGTTTATGTACTTCTGAGGTACGCCTTTCAATGACAGACACTGCCACAGAGTCTCGCGGTCTACAGAGTCAAATGCTGCTTTTAAGTCAAGAAAGACCACCATCGTCGGACGCCGATAGGTATGCCTGTGTTCTAGAACCTGACGAATGGTGAATATGTGGTCGATGCAGCCACGACCAGGTCTAAAGCCAGCTTGGTTCTCTCGTGTTTGTAGTTCACGAGTCTTAGTTAGGCGTTTGATAATTATCGAGGCCAGTATTTTAGATACTATGTTTGTTAAACTAATCCCTCTGTGGTTGTCACAGGATGATTTTGACCCTTTCTTATATATTGGGACGATAAGTGATTGCGACCAGTCAGATGGGATAACGTCTAATTCCCAGATCTTAGCTAAAATATTAGTCAACCTAATCGCTAAAATTGGACCACCATCCTTAAAGACCTCTGGAGCCAATCCATCTGGACCAGCTGCCCTTCCTCGTTTCAGATTAACTATAGCCTTCTCAACTTCAGCAAGAGTTGGGGGACCTACTTCAATGTTCCATTCACTTTGTCTGGGAATGGAGGGTAGTTGTAGAGTAGCTGAAGGCCAGCTGAACTGTTCTCTAAAATGTTCCGCCCATCGTTCTAAACGTCTGGACTGGGAGCAGATGAGAGTATCATCTTTTTCCGAAATAATCTCACTTACACTTGACTTATTAATTCCAGTTTCTTTTATTAGTCTGTAAAGCTGTCTTGTGTTCCCTATAGTCGCCGCCTTTTCCATCTCTTTTGCTTTCGTTACCCACCACTGCTCACGGTCGTTCCTTAGACTTTTTCTTAACCTAGATCTGATTTGTTTACGCTCTTCATCATGTTCAGAACCTGATGGGACGAGTTTGCGAGAATCCATCAGTGTGACAGACCTTGAAGAAATCCACTGGTTCCTTGTAACTCTGTGGTTTAAGTCACTAATAGATGTCACTGCTGTTTCCACAGCTGCTTGTATGTCCTTCCAAGCAACATCTGGGTCAGCCTCGTCTTCACAACTACCTAAGTGTGACCTCAGTTGTTCCTGGAACCTACTTTTGGTTTTCTCGTTACTCAACTCAGTTCTAATGGGTCTTTTTAATGTGGCTTTTTTGCGTCCAGTGAGGCGCAAGCAGATGCGTGCCCGTATTAGGGCATGGTCGGAGTCCAAGCAGGTACTCCAGAATGAGCGACAATCTTCTACCGACCCTCTCCAACGATGACTGATGGCAATATGGTCTATTTGAGTCCATCGTTGGTTTGGTGTAGGGGGTCGCCATGTTAGACGATGTCTCTCCTTATGCTTAAAATTTGTGTTTGCTAAAAATAAACGATTGTCTGAGCATAGCTGCAGCAGACGATCACCATTATCTGTTCGCTGTGTCGGAATACTAAAATATCCACCTAAATGCCTTTCTGTTTGGTTTAAACTGCCTATCTGAGCATTAAAATCACCTGCTACGAGTACTATGTCTGAGCGTTTAGCTTTCTGAAGAAGTTCGGACAGCTTTCTGTAAAATTCATCTTTCACTTCATCTGAGCTGCAGTCAGTGGGAGCGCAGAAACGACAAAAAGGCAACGACGTGTGTCCCTATCCTTCCGAGTTCTTACGTAGCCGTTCAGCCGAACAGCACATAGACGACTGTTGACGGGGATCCACTCTAGCAGTGCTTGTTCGGCCCTCATGCTTAGTGCTATGCCTACACCTGCCAGTCCACGAGAACTTGCCATCGGGTCACCAGACACACGAAGGGTGTATCTCGTTGGCTCTCCGTCTTGCCGAGGTGAGGTCAAGTGAATGACCACACTGGAATCCTGTATGCGTGTTTCGGAGACACAGCATACATCAATGGAAAGAGACTCTAGGGTTTTAGCCAAGGAAGCCTGCTGACCGATTTGACATAGGGTGCGTACGTTGAAGGCTCCAATGTGTAGTTTGGAGCGAGGTTTCAGTAGACCTGGGACAGTGTTTTGCGCACTAGAATCGTTGGCTATGGTGACACTTGAGGTGGAAGCCGAGAGAGGAAATTTAGAGTTGAAAGTCGATGTAGGAGGAATAATAGGAATTGAAGAGGAGGTTGATTATGAATACAGTGGTCTTGAGTGCTGTTAGAAGTATGAGGGCGGTTATCACTTCCCGGTTGCCCACACCGTGGAAGGGTTGTTCTGGAGGTACCTGAAAAGGAAATTGGATTAGAGGTGGTCTTAGTGACCTGAGAGCGTGACCGCAGTGCCCAAGGGACAACTGCTTGAGGTCGGTCACACACGACCTTGTTATGGGTAATTTTTGTGTTAGCTCCGTACTTATTGAGACCTTACCGCCGGAGACGGATATCCGTGGGATAAGGCGAGGTGTGCATTTTTAGGGTCGACCTTTTCTAACCCCACCCCTCCTTGTGGGAAGGCAGCATCGCTGTCATGCTGGTTGTCTGAAGGAAACACCTTACTGCTGTCACACCTCTGTACAGTCAGCAGTACGACTTCGCCTTCGGACCTTGGGTTTGTTGCTTTTAGTCTTACCGCTCTTCAACCGACCTGTCTGACATGGTAGGACCTTGAGGAACGGTTGTTCCAGCCAGTATAGCTCGGTTGCTTCATCACGATAGGCAAGCCCGACCACCACGTCAAGGTAGCAACAACGGTCGGGGTATATTAATGAAAAACACTTCAATTAGATTTTTATCAGGCTTTGATGTATGAAGTTGTTGAGACTATTGAATGTTACTGAGATCACGAACTGATTTCAGTTAGCCAACGAACTGTTCAATGCTCTTAGTTTTTTAATGGTTGTTCAACTGTGATCGGTTCCTGATCCTAACAACGTTTGATATACAGTAATATATATATAGATACACGAAAACCACTGAACCCATCAAAGCAGTTTATAAGTCAATGATAGCAATGAAAAAGGTCTATTTAACTATTCACTTGCGATCAGTACGATTTCATAGTAAGATGGCAGTTGTACTAGTGATTAGAATGATGACAGTTTGAGTAGATATTTCAATATCCGAAGCTGACCAAAAACTGGCAAAATAAATAAATATAAAAATCATTAAGAAACATAAAAACTGCGTAGTAAGAAATATGCAAATAAGCAGTATAGATATATGGATAGTGAAGAATAAATAAGAAATACAGTGAAAAAAATAAACAAACTATGAATGTTTGAAGTAAGATCGTTTGTTAAGTTTTATCAGAACAAGGAAGAGACAAGCATATTACAAAGCTCCTCTGAACTCAGAATCAGGTTGTTGTCTTGCATCTCTTAAGCTCCTGCTGTATGTAGAATAAAAGATCGAACGTCGGCGGAAAACGAGGTTATATGGTCGGTTACTTAAATGATTTAGTCCCATCTACCACAAAACCACTGTCTGCCAATTGAGATAAAATGGGGTTGCGTGTTGTCCGTATTTGATTCCTTCCAAACCATTCAGAGAAATCTCTCATTTGCTGATAGTCTCTTAATACAGACTCACTAAAATACACGGTTAAATAGATGTGTTTCAGTGTGAAATTTGTGTACTCCATGATACGGTTGATGTCAGTTAATGTAGGGGTTAGACTGAATAGTTTTTTCGTATTACTACGTCACAATCTCATACCAGATCAAACTTAGTATCACTAAATCTTAGGATAACCACTATATTTGTAGAACACAGAGTTGAATATCAATAATCATCCGCCTTTTGTCAACGTCAGTCAATTGGCCATGGTATTTCGCGTTGATCATTTTCAAATTATATCAATCAGTCTTTAAAGGTAAACTAACTTGAAATTTATTTTAAACCTTCACTTGGTGAAATAAATTTGAATTACTACCTATTAAACTTAAAGATTACTAAATTACTTACTATAGAGTGTTGATATCATTGACTCATCTGAGAAGTCTCATACTAAAGACAATCTATTGTCTAGTGCTTCCTAGTTGTCTGATTAAGTTCAGTCATGTGAACTTTTTTTCTATTGCTAAGATTTTAATCTTACATTTAACAATATTTCAATGGTTAAGATCATGAGTCAGTTGAAGGTAGATCACCATGGGAAACCTGGAAGCAGTGGACGGCTTCAACTGATTCATGATCTTAACCATTGAAATTACTATAATATCCACAAAACCCATCTGATATTTAATAATATGCTTAATTATTAACGTAATTAATATCTAAGTGATGTATACATTGAATTGACAGATAATTCCCATTTAAACATTAAAATGACAACACGAATTTCAGCGAAGGGATCTCTTTTCAACGAATTTATTATCAAGCTGTACAATCGTATATATATGAAAATTTTTGTTTTTGTAAAAGTACTAATTCCGTGAGGAAATGTGAACACAGTTAATAAAAAGGTTATAATACTAGATTACGTAATATGAATAATAACAATAACAATAGATTTAGTGAATATAATAAGATGATTAAAATGTTTTTGATATAATAATTAAAGGTCATAGAGGTGTAAAAAAATAAAGTGATATGATGAGCATTTACGAATAAAACAATGAGGATATAAGACATAAGTAAAGGGGGAATGCAGCAATAATAATAATAATAGGATAATCAAAATAATTAAGGCCAAGGTAACGATAACGATAAGATGTACTTCTTTTGTACGCATAGTTCTGGTTTAAGCTCCTGGATGGCAAGAGCTTCGGCTATTTTTAAAAGTTGGATGCAAAGAAATCTGGGTAGATTTGAACGAATCATATAAACAACCTTAAAGTCAATTTGTGGATCTGTTGAATGGTTCTAGTCGATTAGGTGTTCAAGTATAGAACTCCTAACTGCTTTCCTTTCACCCTTATAGAACCAAGCTGGGATATGTTCTCGTATCCGAGTTGAAAGCGAGCGCTGGCTACGGCCAATGTACCTTGCTCCACAAGAGCAGGTGAACTGGTAGATGCACATGGAGGCGACCAGACGCGGAAGCTTATCTTTTATGGATACAGAAAATAAGTTTCTACTAGTGAAGGATATTCGCAGTTTTGACGCGTTAAATGTTCTTCTAATAGTTGTTGTTAGACGATTTTTGATTACGTCTGATGTTCGGTCACCTTTAAATTCCAGACTTATATAAAGGTTTTTCTTTGGAACGGAACAACTAGAATTCTTCTCGCGACTACTTTTATTCATATTCTTTTCTATGAACCGTTCTGGGTAACCATTTTCCGTCAAAGTCTTCTTCAGGAATGCGAGTTCTTCGTTAATGCATTCCGTACTGCATATGTGATGTATGCGATGGCATAAAGAATGGATAAGGTTTCTCTTCCTACTTAACGGAACCCAGCTATAGAAGTTGGTTAGCTGGCCATTCCATGTTTGTTTTCTAAAGATGGATCTTTTTAAAGAACCATTACTCTTTCTCATCAGACGTACATCGAGAAAAGGAATTGATTGGTCTTGTTCCCTTTCTAACGTGAAGTCTATGGAAGGGTGGCACGAGTTAAAGGTGTGTAGAATATCATCTAAATCAATATTATTGTCACAAACAACAAACGTGTCGTCCATGTATCTCACGTATAGGTGGAATCGATTGACCATTGAACGGGGTTGGTCGTTTTCTACTTTTGCCATGAAACAGTCTGCTAAAATTGGACCCAATGGAGACCCCATTGCGATCCCATCCCTTTGTCTATGTATTTCATTATTGAAACTGAACTGGACATTAAAAGTACAGCGTAACAATAGTTCTTTCAAGTGTTCAGTTGGCAAACCTAGATCTATATTGTTAGAATCAATATACTCACATATATAACATATTGTTTCGGTTAAAGGTACGCTAGTGAACAAAGAATTAACGTCAAGCGAGAACATGTGTTTTTCGGAAGTATTAACGTCCTTAATACGATCAATAAATTGAAAAGTATCATGAATAGAATGTTTACATACTTGCCTTCTAACCGGTTCCAATTTTTCCGCTAACCATTTGGCGATTCTGTGGTATGGTGAACTTGACATGTCCAAAATAGGTCGTAACGGTAAACCCGGCTTATGTATTTTCGGTAGTCCATATAAGCGCGGGATGATTGAACACATGGGACGTATGTGATTATATAAATCTTGGGTTATTATCCCCTTATTCTTAAGATTTTTAACAACATCTGTTAGCTGTTTTTCGATTTGTAATGTTGTATCAACTTCTTTAGGTTTGGAGAATTTGGAACCATCCTCTAGAATTAACTTCATTTTATCCAAGTATTCTTTGCGGTCGAGTAGTACTACACCAGCTCCTTTGTCAGGTTTACTTAGGATTAAATCCTCATTTCTTTTCAACAGTATTGGCTGATCCAAGTGGTTCTTAGTTAATAGGTTATTCTTACTATGTTGTGCATTAACGAATCCATGACTGCAGTCCAGTAATGTGGACTTAAAGTGCTGGAGATTTTATGGGGATGTCGGCATAAGATTATGAGTTTGATTTGATAAATTTCCAAATTGTATTTGTGTATGAAGTCTACTGGTTTTGGAGGTGCTGTTACAGAACTTGGGACCCAATAATAAGGCCTGTATTTGGACTGGTGAAATTTTTATAGAAGAATGACTAAATACATACTTTTCTGGATGTTCTGGAAACTTTTTAGTCACGTCTACGTGTTGCAATGTTTCCAAGTGTTTACGTTTAGCTTTTTGTGACTGTTTTTCCGTAATATTAGTAACATAGTCCTCAAATTGTTTACGTTCATCTAACGACAATTCAAACAATGCATGACTTCTTAGAGATATGTTGCGATCTAGTTCGACTTTTCGAGATTTGATGGCATCGATATAATTGAGTGCATGACGTTTGAGTGTTTTTGCATTGGGATGAATATGGTTTCGCCTTAATGCCTTCCAGAAACGTTTAGGATAATCATTATTTTCGATACAGCTTTCGAGAAAATTGATCTCACATTTCACTAACGCAAGCTTGACGGTGTAACGTAAGAACTCATTGAGCCTTTTCATCGTCATAAGGTCCTTGCATTTCTTCAGTTGACAGATAATTCCCATTTAAACATTAAAATTAAAACATTGAATTAAAATTGAATTCATTAATTGACTCACCAATTGATCATTCCAATTACAACAAAACCCTGTTATAGCGATTGACTATTATTAAAAAATAAATTGATTGAACGTTATTATGATCGTGATCATTGTAGATTATATACATAATTTGAATAAATATAGAATATCTAAAAAGATAGTTAGCAGCTTGAATATATATGGATAATTTTATAGCTTGTTAACTAATAATAATCATGTGTTTCTTACAAGACATGTGCTTTTTGATCAAACAGACTTTTATGTTCCATTTTTGTGATATGGATTTTGAAATTGATTTTTTTTCGCGCGTACACAAATACACACAGAGGGAGAGAGAGAGAGAGAGAGAAGGTGTTGTTTATATGTTAACATGTTTTCATTTTTCATGTTGATGATTTTATAAACAACTAATGAAAATAAACATGATAGTGTTATACAACGAGAACAAAAATGATAGTAACTTAGTTCAATATTGTTACATGTTTCATGAATGAACTCGATCAAATTGTGTTGAGATAATGGTGAAATAAATTAGATAGTTTGTAAGATTATAAAATGTAGTGGTCATAACTCATAACAGAAAAATGAAGTTATCCCCAACATTTTCAATGTTGATTCATTGTGTTGTGTCCATCAATTTCGTCAATTTTTTCGTTTATTTCGTCGGTGTGTGCTGCATGTTAGAGTGTAACTTTCACGAAAGATTTCACTTTAAGCGCCTAGAAGTATGTATCTGTCATTGTCATTGTAATCAGGGCTAGAAAATGAAGTCTTTAATGAAAATTAAACTTAAATATGCACAGCTCATCGATTAAGTAGACAAGAAAATGACTGAAAATACTGGATATAGCAGACTTATTGGACACTGAAAACGTTGCGAATAACCTTCAGCCGAATGAAAATAATGTTATCATTTTATTACAGCGAATAAAAGATTTAAAATCAACAACCAATAATTCTAAGCTGTTTTTTGAAATTACTTCGGGTGCATGTTATAGGGCTTCTCAAATATCTGTACCCACCATACAAAACATTTTCGAAATCAAGTGTATTTGTTAACACAATACTTGTTTCGTCCTACCTAATTGGTGAGTTCTTGTCCCCCTTTCAGGTTGGATACAACATCTACTGATTCTGGTTACTGACTAGAACTTCTAATTCATAACCAATCACATAATAAGATTAAATAATCTTCTGTTCATATTCTCATATCTATTTGTCATATTTTTGAAATCGTTAATTTTATTTTTTTACTCGCTAGTCTTCCTATTCACTTCCTTTCTTAGGCATTTACTAACTTTGAATCATTTAGATTCTGAAAGGTTTGATTCTTCATCAAATGGATTTCATAAAACTCTACTGACTGGATCTGCATTATGTTTATCCAACAATGGCACAACACAACAACCAAAACTACTTTGGTCTACTTCACCACGATCAACCGTTAAACATACTACTTATTATCATCCTACGGTGGATCAGTTAATCCCACATCTTGTTAAATCAGCTGAATTATTTTTATCATTAGCCAATACATCATCTTGTAGTGATAAATTTTCGAAATCCAGATCTCAGTCAACAACAACAGATAGTTCTGAAGTTGGCACTACAAAATTAAAGAATGAGAAGAGGCAAAAATCAAGTATATCCTACTGGTATGTTGACTTTTTCTGATGACATATACTTCTTTTTATTAAATGGTTCGACTTCAGCTACTACTTAGAGATGAGATTGGAGATTGTCTGTTTTAATGAACCAATCAAGTTATGTCGGTCGGACTACTCGTTCTTTTAAGTCCTACCATCTCAGAAAGGTCAGTTGCAGAGTTTTAAGACTGCAAGCAGAAAATTGAAGTTTGGGGATGACATCGTACTTCTGACTGTTTAAAAGTTTGACTGCAGTGAGGTGTTTCCCTTCTATCTAGCATCTGCATATTTGCTGCCTCCGCACAACTGAATAAAGTGGTTAGAAAAAGTGGGTTGTTAAAAAATAACAAACCTCATTTCATCCCTGCAATAAAGCCTTGAAAGTACGGAGCTAGGACATATAAAACTACTCATGAAAACGTCATATGCGATCAACGTCAAACAGTTATCCCTCTGGGGTCACGTTCCCAAGCAATCAAAGCCACCCCTATTTCAATTTTCTCATGTATCTCGATAAAAAGTATCTCTCTACGGTATGTGCGAATAAGAAGCGACAACTACTCTCACACCTCTAGCAGCACTCAAGATCATCAGCTCCAAAGAATTGGATAAGACCACTTCAATTATCCTTCCTACTCGAACAAAGACATGTGAGCTGAGTCATTGAGTAACTGCATAATCTAATTCTTCCAATAACATGCCTCGTTTATAATTTCCCGACTATCTTTTGACCCTGAGATGACATGTGAACACAAACACGTCAGAAGTTTGTACTCACCCAGCCTTTCAGACTTGAACTTGTTATCAAATGTCTTATACCGTTTTAAAAAATTAATCACCACCTCATTATAAGTGTGTCAATGTTTGACAAACAGATAGTGTTGGATCTCACTTTTTCACTTCTTAAGACACCTCTCTGATTACTTCATCATTATTTTAATAAGCTTATTTATTTGCCTTATTTCTGAAGAGGTTCTAATTACCGTTACACTCAATAGATGTTTGTCTAAGTAACATTCTCTTAGTCTGCAGAGCTTTTGGTGCAAATATGACCTTGCTTTCTGGGTTAGCTATGTCTAAGATAAAAAGGTGTCTATTTTCAACAGTTTTACTTCAGACAATGCTAATATAGACTAGACGATTTGCTTTATATATATAATGATATGTTCTCATTTTATAATCTTAAATCATTGTTTCGTCGTAATAGTCCTGTCGAAAAACTATGTAATGTTTCGAAAGAAGTCATATTCAGTGGTCATGGAGACTCTATACCTACAATCGATCCCTTAACAAGTTTAAATCGTTCAAACAACTTTAATAGCGAATCAATCGATGATGATGATTTGAACAAAACATTAAACAACGAATGGGTTGTTATTCGTACAACACCACTCCATCCTATTTTAGTGGCTAATAATTATCCAGAATTAATAAATTATATTAAAAATGCCAATTTACGTGTATCACGACGACGTCAAGCTTTTAAATCATGGCGTTCACAGTATTGGCCGAAAATGATTGAAAATAATAAAGGGAATCAATCTGCAACATCGTTAGTAAGAGATGATAATTTATTAGAATTACAAGAGAAACGATCACGTTGTGATTTGTATAGAACGATCCATTCGTCGAAATATACAAACAGTAGTGGTTGTGTAACACCGGACTCAATGCCTAATGGATTGTCAGCTAGAGATCGTACAAAATTTATGCCAGACATAGTCGACAGTGGTAGCAAAAACGAATGGAACAGTGTATGTGATGATATATCATTGTCATCGCCATTGTTATTACATAGTTTATCCAGGAAACATACTTCATCTTTATATCAATTAAATTATATAAATGATTCATCAGATGATGAAAGTAATCAAGAGAATATGAAACAATCTAGCAATTCAAATACTACTGATAATGACACGACTCTTATCGCTGCTAATAATGTTGAGTCGACTGTCTCTGAAACTGATACCCTTGATAAGACAATTAATTCACGTTCGCCAACTGATAAACAGTTATCCAATTCTTGTTCAACAGAATCATTTCATTCAACAACTATGGACAATAAACAACCACAAACACAATCATCAGTATTATCGACAACATTAAAAATGGACAATCATGAAGAAGGGTGTTATAACACAGGCTCTAGTGTACCATATAATCTCACATCCACAACTTCTACACCTTCGTGTACTTGTTTATCAACGTTACCGGATTTGCTAAGATTAGCTCATCTAGATCCAAGTATAGAATTACATAATAGTAATGTCGTTTCATGCACCACCACAGTGTGTACAAAAACTGATTTTAATGAAAGACAAGAATATGAATTAGAGAATTTTTTAGCTGCATTAGATTGTTTACCATCACCAGGACGTTGTACAAAACATTTTGGACATTTGCCACCATTTATTTCCTACAGCAAAATTGATGAGGAATTTTTTAAAAAATTGGATGATTATATACATGAATTTGAAAATTCAAAAATGGAATTTACTAAAACAGATACTGTGAGTAGTACAACAAAAATTACTTCTGTAACTAAGAATGATAATCTTAGTCATAATTGTAGTGATAACGAAGATGAGGGTGACAATAATACTGAGACAAAATCTAGACTCTTACAATCTCCTCTATTATCTTCGTTAATGGTTAGATCATGTAATGATGCTTTGGATTCGATATCATTAAACAGACTTGACTCAATACGCCAACAACAATGTCAGCATTCAGGGAGTCATAGTAGTTGTAGTAATCATTCACACGTAACAGATTTCTCTTCAACTTCATCGACGCAATCTGCGAAACATTATTCAAATTCAGTTGGTGTCGCTGGCGGTATAGGTAAGTGTGGTGATAATGATTGTAGTTCAAATTTATGTCATGATGTTAAATATCAAATTAATGACATGTAATTCAATACTCACTATAAATCTCCTGGATTAATCATATTTGAATCTTCCGACCATTGGTTAAAAATCAGACATTCAAACCACTGAACAACAAAGATACATTCAAGCGTGACTTTTAGTATATACCATTTACAATCCTCGATCATCGGTACACAATTGCCTTGCTTACATTTATGTATAAGGTTCGAGACAGCCATCTGAAACCTTATAAACTACCGTTGTCATATCCTAATTACGTAAGAGCTGTTCTGCTCTATTCCTCATGTTAACTATCGAAGTATAACGCGGTAATCGAAGGTTATGTATTTTATATGTCGTGGTTATTACAGGTGCGAAAATTTCAACAAATGATTTGTATCTTCTACAGAGCACTCTAAACAGCAGCACTCATGAGCTAAATAACTTAATAGTTGAGTTCATGGGTCAATTAAAGCTAGACCACCATGGAAAACCTAGAAGCACTGAGCGGCTGTTTCGTCCTAGCATGAGACTCCTCGACAGTGCGCATCCACGACCCCCGCGCTCGAGACTGAAGGTCTTGGGTTTGAATCCCAATATCCTTTTAAGTATACTTTTTCATTTTGCCTTTTCGTGCTATGTTCCTAATGTTTAATTTCTTTCATAGTCGTTTCTACTAAACTATTTAAATCTCGTGATTTATCTCGTTAGTTTTATCTCAGCATACCATTATTATATGACAGCTTGAGCTAGCGCATATTTGTTCAAAGTTCTATGTTGCTTATGACTAACGATACATTGAGGCAATCAGGAATTGTATAAATGACAACTGCACGTGGTTGGTCAAGAAACGACTTTCATTTCTGAGGAATGAGAAATGCATCTTTGGTAGCTTAATTTTCTCATCGATATGCCAAATCAGTTAATCAACAAATTTCCTTTCTCACTATCCGTAATTTCGCTTAAGTAATAGGTTGAACTTGTGGATAGGAAGATTTTGTATCACTGTCAACTCTCAGGCACCATATCTTACAACAAAGAAATAATGAAATATTAAAACTTTTAACTGCAAAATATTGTGGCGTATGCTACCTATGTTGATAGATATAAGTAGTACATAACAGCAATAGGAATTGAAATGCCTGTCAGCAAATTGAAATAAAGAAAACAGGAAGTAAATTGGAGAGCAATCGAAATAGCAACAGAACGAAGGGAATAATGGAGTATGTAAAGTACAACGCAAAGATGTGCAAATGATGTATTTAATGTGTGATTTTCATACTTTATCAAGTCATTATGTGATTTTGTGGTTTTTCTCACCTGAGTTTTCGTCTACTCCAACAGTACTATCTCAATATAAAATGGATTCATTCTCATTACTTAAGCATTATGCTTTTTGAATTTGTTTTCTTTTTTCAATTAAAATACTAGGTCCATTTTTGTCCATACTCTTAAATCGTTTGGCTAATATGCACAATAATTGTTTTTTCACTAATCTCCTTCTAACTGATATATTTGCTGCATTGGCCTCTTATCCATGTCCATTATTATATGAATACTTATTGAATCCAATTGGTTTAAGTATAAAACCATCTGTTAATACTCTTTATAAAGTATGTAATACCAAATATTTACTGTATTTTTCTATCGGTATGAATAAATGTAACTTTTTGTAATTGTGTGTTCTGTTTGCTCACAAAGGTAGTAAGTAATATAGCCTGAACTCGTAACAAACACACCTAAATATCATAATCTTATAACGAACCATCAACATTACTCCCACCTGTAACCATGAATTTGCAGTTTTTCACCGTTTTAAATATACATTTATTATTATTTGATGATCAATTCATCCAGATAGTTTATATATATATATATATATATATATATATATATATATATATATATATATATATATATATAAGATTGTACAGCTTGATAATAAATTCGTTGAAAAGAGATCCCTTCGCTGAAGTTCGTGTTTTAATTTTATTTATTCAACATTTTTCAGCGATTTACTAGGAAGGGAAATAGGCTGACTTAATAGTGAAGTATTGCTTTGAAGTTGTCATTCATCTGTACTTTCATTTTATGCCGTTTACTGAATTAATGATAAGGGGTGAAGTGGTTGAGTGTTTTGTCCCCTTTTATCTTGAGGGTTTCATTTTTCCTAATGGGCTGTTGTTTAACGAAGTTTCAGAAAGATCGACTGGTTTTTGCCGACTTACGTCACTTGTGGCGACGAATTTATTGTGTGGCAGTTCGCTCAGTTTTAATTTATGAGTGTAAAACATGACCACTAAGAATAGAGGATATTCGTGAGTTATTAGTATTCGATCATTAACGACTTCTTAACATTGCCCGTGTATTTTTGGACCACTGAGTAAGCGATGTCAGGGTTAGGGATAGGGTATTACGTTGAGTTGAACCATCTACCAGGTAATTTATACATCTAATTTCACTACAACTAGTGTTGTCTGAGCAAAGCCTGATACATTAGTTTGTACTTGGTAAGTTAGCATTAAGGCATAGCGGTTATTTAGTTAGTGTTGTAAGGAAAAAAGAATCTTTTTTGATTGATGTTCACTGGGACACTAGATGATCGTCATGCTAGATCACTTGGCAAACTCGACTCAATTATGTAGCCAATAATTAAGAACCAGATTAGATAAGAATGTAAATCTATTACTATAAAGTAAAAATCAGTAAACGTAGGGTCGCTCAACTTTACACAATAAAGTAGTCTCATAACTGGATATATCTACCATTACTTACTAGGCAATCATCCGGTGTTTTACATTTCTAAACTTTAACCAAATGTATGGCGATTTAGTATTCCAAGCATTTAGTTCTTGCTACAAGGCGACTGATGTTTGTTAAAATATTTTTATCAATCCAACTTCCTTAAATCTTTTTAAACTTTGTGCATCACTCTCTTCATTATCCATCGTGTTCAGGTGCTCCGATCTGTGCATAGTCAAATTGTAGTCGCTTCGGAATCTGTTGAACAATGGAAATCACTTGTGTTTCGTGCGCGTGTTTATTTAAATATTGTCTGGCCAGGTCCTTTCAAGATGACAATTGATCCAAATTTTTATACAACAAGAGAGAATTCACAACGTACTAAAACTAAAATGATGGCAACAACGACAGGATATAAATCAAATACTACTTATAATAGTAAAAAAGGTACGTTAGCAGTGTGTGGATTTGTGTGATTCAACAGCTTTGGTGTTCTTCAGAAATATATCCACCGTTTTAATATCGATAGTGACCACAACGTCTAAGTAATACTAGTGTGTTCTGAGCGATTTACAATTGTTCACTTTTTATTGCGAATGTATATTTTCCAATGATCTTTGATTAGTTGGTAGGATCTGATAGAAATATGCATCAACAGCTCGAGACGACAGACTCTTCACATCATATTCTGGTGAACTCTACACAGTTTAGGTTTCGTGCTAGTTTGTGCTCATTAGCAAAGCGTAACTGTAATCTTGAGGGGACGGATAACCTCTAGTCGGTTAGAACCCGAGTGATTTAGTTTTACACTCTGAGAGATTGTCACTGAGCTATTTGGAGAGTGACTAACGTCTTGTACGACTGAGAAATATACACTGACTAACCAACCTGCATAGATCATTACAGATATATAGAGAGAGGGGAGATCAACCAGACGAAATTGAATGACAGTGTCGAAGCAAATATTTGACGTATACTTCGAAACAAATTATGGATCATTAAAAAAATTAAATACAGTTAATATTCTCAAAATTTGGAAAAGAATGTACTTGCTCCAATATGACATTTCAAATCATATCACCTATGGTTTCTAAGCACAGCTTACAACTGTCATGATTCCCAAATATGTGGTTTGCTTTTTCTGACATGACTCGTTTCACTGTTGAACGAGTTTATGGATTGACGTTCACGTTTGATCGTTCCCAACTTATTATTATGCTAGCCAGTCCTACATGTTTGTAGATGGTGGCTGAGCCATGTCTAAAAGATATTGGAAATATTCTTTATCGTGAAACATTCACAAGTTTTTAGCAAAGTTGAATTGCAGCAAGAAGTGGAATCCGCGACGCACATTTCATCCCATTTGAGACTCGTTTGCTGTGTGTACCTGTGCGTTCTGGATATCACTACTTGTCTCATACTAAATATAATAAAACTTATGATTTAACTGTATACAACGCAGTTAGCTCATGATACTGTTAGCGACTGATCAATTGCAGTCCTTAATTACCAATAATTAAAAGTTGCAAACCCTTAATACTCAAGAAAATTGGCTTGTTGACAGACTTTGAGAACAAGACTATTTTAGTTTATAATGAACGTTTAAAAAGGTGGGAGAAAAGATTTGTAAGATTAAGGTAATGACCGTGGTTTAAGAAGAATTGGTTGATGGTTTTTTATACATAGATTTCCTATACTTACGGTAAAGGCTCTAGGTATCACTTAATTCCCCTTTTATTTAACATTTCATTTAAATATTTTTCTTTTATTCACTGTATTGGCTAAATACTTTATACATTATGCCTGCTTAAATGCGATTTACAATAAATATCAAAGTTGACAAACTAACACTAATTCATTATGTTTTTTTACTGTATTTAGGTGTATCTGAGGACAAGAAAAACATTTCTACCTGTTTATCACAAAATTGTCTTCCTACAAATTCAAATCATCATTCACCTTTGAATACTGTAAACAAAGATTCACTTCAACATGTTGTTCCACTGTTGCCTGTTACATATCCATTACCAGTGAATAATGATAATAAAACTAGTTCAGAACGTTTACATCGTAGTTCTGTCAGTGGTGGAAGTATTAATTTAAATTTACGTCATAGAAGTCGTAGTCGTGTAAATCAATTTTTAAATTTGACAAGTCGTATCGGTTTAAGTCCAGTATTAAAACGTGCATCACTTCATCAAGGTAATCGTACATCTATTCCTTCTTCTTCTTTTAATCGAAATTATACCAATAACAAATTTAAATTAACAAATTCAGGATCTGATGATGAAGTTGATGTAAATGTGAAACATTCAATGGATAATGAAAACATAAATAATAATAATAATAATAATAATCCATTTTATTCAGATCCAACAACAGATATTTCAATAAAAACACGAAATTTAGTATTTGCTTCAATTATTTTTGATGAATTCTGTTTTGAACTAGCTGCATTATGTTATGAGCATAGTTTAAATTCTGATATTCATTTAACTAAATAAATCAAACAAAATTATACTACTTATATAATTATCATTGGTTAGTAAGTAGTATTATACATCATTATTATTAATTGGCTATTTTAAGTGATTTTATTCATTGAAATTCACATTTACGCATATAATTCAGCTCAGATCTTATTCATTCATCCATTCATTTAAAAAGTATTGATTATACCTGTTATTCATCATCGTATTTTCTCTTGTTGTGCTTGTTTTTCTTTTCTCTTTTTTTTCGAATTTACCCTTTTTTTGTAAAAATTTCAGAAGTTATTTATCTGATTCGTTTAATTTCCAATTTGTACTTCTTTTTTTTTCTATTACAAAATAATGATGACTTGTTAATTACAAAATAGATTAAGGATGATGTAACATAATAAAGTTCATAGTTTACATTTTTTTTTAAGAAAAAAATTTTTTTTAATTTTTACTTTTCTCTGTAAATATGTATAATTCCTCGGTCATTTTTTTGTTCTCTTTCTGAACTATTTTCTAATGGTTACTGTCTATGGTATGTATTAGTAAGTTGTATTAACTTTGAGACCAGTTTTAAGAAAACGTACAAAATGCGCCATTATATATTTGTATTTGTTATGGAAAACAAAAAATCATCATCTTTTTTTAAAGTGATATTTAAATGGGAAATAGCATACTACATAGTCCACTTAGTAAAATCAAATAATTGAACTCATGAGTGTTTGTTCCGTTTCATGTCAACTATACTAATAATATTTCATTTAATCAATATCAATTAAGGGATGAGAATACTGCGCAGCAGTTTGTTCTGTCCTACTTTACGGCTGAGAAACGTTGACATTAAGAATAGAAGATATTCGTAAACTACTGGTATTCGACCACAGATTGCTTAGAAATATTGCACGCATCTGCTGAGAACATCAGGTAAGTAATGGCGAGGTTAGATGCAAGGTATTAGGGAACGATGGTAAATCAGTTGATGAGGTTGTGAGTCTTCATAGACTGAGATGGTTGGGTCACGTGTTGTGTATGCCTGAACACCGATTACCACAACACGCAATGCTAACTGGTATTGGGGATGGTTGGAAGAAATTTAAGGGCGGCCAAACGAGAACGTGGCATCAGTGCTTGAAGTCACTAACTTCTGGTCTGAGCCATGTTGTTAGATGCAGACTAATTGGTTGGGGTCTGCACGACTATCGTAACTAATGGTTGGAGACTGTGGGTGACATAGCTCAGAATCGATCACAGTGACGTAGGTGTATACACTCTCTGTCTTCCCCTAAACTATGAGATTAAGATCCCTTCACATCTTTCTTCCTACGAACTAGTTCTTATCACCACTGAATTAACTACTTCTATGAATCCGGTGCTCGTCTTGCTGTGATAATGAGGTATGGCAACTTGGACCAATGTATGTATGCGCCTGGTCCTACGTTGTAACCGACTGACTAACCAATATGCTCACTAAGTTCTCTGACGTCCATTGGTTGGTTCAAATCTTTGCTATCTCCAGCCTATCCAATCAGAACATAGGAAAGCTAGTCGACCTTCCTTGCAGTACTATGAATCATATGATACTATGCATCAATAACGACACTATAATGTACTGTAAATAAGCGATCACAATTTGTACATAAGTAAGTCTTCTGTGTTACAAACTGAGTAACAGATATATAATTGGTTAACTAGTTTTTAAGCACTAAAAGATATCTTAACAATTGATGAGCTGAATAAAAGCTTATAATGAAGACAATACCAAAAAATACCACAATTCAAATATCTATTTAATATACAATAAACATATATACATAATAATAATTCCTAGCATATTCTTTGGAATTCCACCTTTTCCATTTATTCGTCTATATCTAACAATTAATATGGGATTTCACTATGAATTTTCTCTAAATGTGAATGTTTAGATTAATCAGAACTTAGTGAACCTTAGGTTTAAATGCTTATTTTCGAACCATGGGCAAATAATTCTGATGACCAATTGTTTTATCATCAATGAATTTTTGTTATGTATGTAGAATAATCCTATTGACTAATTAATCCAACAGTTGTGACATGTGATTTCCTGATCAACCAACAAATATGGTTAGTTCTTGGTTGCTAGTCGGATAGTATAATATAGCTCGGTTATCAAGGAAATTCTTGTCTAATAAGATTTGTGCCGCGCGCTTTTTGTATCAAAGCTAGTAAATCGTGTGTGTGAACGGATTCTGACCTTAATTTATCCTTTATGCGAACATTACTATGATTAAACATGCAATCTTCTAGGAGTTTATACATCAGAATACTCGGCTCATTATTATAACGTTTACATATTATGTAATCCATAGGACGTTGGGACATGGAAGTGTTTCGAGACCTATTCTGTGAAGAACAAATTCTAGGAGTACCTAGTTTCACTACGGTAAGCAACTTACATAAAACTTTACCATTTATGGTAAGATCTAAGTTTATTGATGTATTACTGAAGCATATCTAGCTAAGTTAAGCTCCAACTGTTATTTCGAGCATCCCTGGGCTACCTTGTTGAGCTCCATATTTATGCAGTTTTGCATATTGTTCAGCTCATGAGGGGGAATGAATACACTACTTTGAGGTTATTTGCATACAAGAGCGATCGCAAATATCATTGATATAAACTAAAAATAGCAAAAGGCCTGAGACACTACATTGTATTACACCGTTTTTGACCGGAACAGAATCCAACAACGGGGAGTTCATTCCGGCTATTTGGTGTTGGTGGGTAGGGAAAATATGGTTCCAAACAAGCACAGGGTTTTTGATCCAGTTAGATACGAATTTGCCTATTAGCAGCTGGCGGTTAACCATGCCAAAAGCTTTAGAAATGTCAAAGTATATTTCTAAGACTATACATTCTCGGTTACCTTGAGTAAAGACTAAATTAAAGTGGTCACACAAGATCGATTTTAAAAAACCTATGTTGAGAATCACTGATGAGATTTTCAGTAAGTAAATAGTTCGTGGGTTCATCAAAAATTCTTTCCATAATCCTAGATATAAATGGAGCAATATTTATGGGCTGATAATTGTTCATGTCAGTCCTATCTCCAGATTTGTAGTGTGGTGTGCTATATGCCGTTTTCCAACAGTAAATGTAAGTACCTGTTTCCAGAGAGAGAGTGAACAGCTTTAGTAGAAGTGAAACATCTGATCCACTATATTTGTAGAGAAAGGATGAAATCCTATATATTTCTTGACCGCTTGAAACCTTAGGAGAATTTATAGATTTACTAATTTTAGGCATGTGGCGGTGATAGATTTTACTGATTTACTAGTCATGTGCATGACTTCAAAACAGTTTTATTTAGGAATTCATTATCGCTCAAAAAAAATCACTGAGAAGGTTTGCAATAGTTTTAGAGTCATTTATAAAAGCTCCATTGTGCAAGATGCATGATATATCGACATTTTGAGTTGTTCTAACGTGTGTATTGTCAAGGAAAATTAAGTTTTGCACTTTTGAGATATCATTAAATGTTTAAGGCTCCTCATTAATAGTTTTTAACCTGTTCTTTTCTTTAATTAGTTGAAAATTATAGTTAATGTGAATCGTTTGATTTAATATAACATTTCTTCTGGTGTCTTAATTTATTACGATATTTAGCTGGTACAAACAATTCGTTAGGTTTACTTAACCTGTACATATTAGGAGGTGCACAGGAATCTAAGCATGAGTTGGTGATAAGATAGAATGGTTCAGTAGCATCCACAAGACTACTACTTGAGAGGAAGGTATCCCACTCTGAGAATCTCACCAGGGAGTGCTAAAGATCCCAGTTAGCATGTCTGTAATCCCTATATCGATGGACTTTGTATGAGTTGGTTATATGAGGGAAAGAACAGGAGAGCAAAATTGCTATTAGATGGTTACTGCTTTCAAATTCACTGTTTACTAGTATATATAGTGGGATGATATCAAATATTTTATCTCGCCTTTTTGGAGTACTAACCCACCGTCAACAGCAGAGCATGTTAATTTTCGCTGAGAATCCATCAAAACATGACTGATAACTACCAGTACTTCAGTTTATTCCAGAGTAATTGAAATCTCATTTAATAACCTTAGCAGTAAAGTTTAGAGCAGATGCACGTATTGACGCATTAACAATGAGATCATTCATACTAACCGAAATATTAGGGGCTCTGTATATAATACATCACAGGTGTAGGCTATGGCTCAAGGTATTGTCGGAGCTAGTTAAACCCTTGTAGTTTATTCTAGCTTCCGGACAAGCCAGTCTATTAATTATTTTTAAACCACATTTACACCTTGTTAATTATTCGCTTTTCAACCTGGATTGTTTTTATTTGAGCGCATGTATGTGCATTTCCTATCTTATCCATCACATATCTTTAACTTATTTTCATCTGACTACAAATATCGATTAACGCTTGATAAAATCGAGTTGGCTCACATGCCTTCTCCACTGCACGTCATTTTGCTTCGCTTCGCCCCTCTAATTGTCTGTACAAATCAATGAGTATACAAAATATACGTATCCAGAAATCCATTGTCGTATTGACTTATTTAATTCCATTATTCATCAACGTGATTTAAGTCAATAAATATACGAGGATAACCTATATGTGTATTTCGATAACAGTCATTCATACGATGTGTTTTGTGCTTCAATTGGGCAAAGTACATTACTTTGATTTAGAAAGTGGGGTTTCGACAAGTCACCTATAGTAAGACAGTGCGAGGAACCAGCCTAATTAGGAGAGTGATGGGAAAGTGTGACTTGTTGGGGTTTTATGATTAGTCCAGGACAACACGTGATGGTGTCACTTTCCCGCGTTTCGTGTATCAAGGCTGGTATGGTTCTTCATCCGTGGGAGTAGATCACTTTGACCTTTTGTGGTTCAGAGATTAAAATAATTAGAAAAATACATGAATGTGAGTTTACTTGTTTGCAAACAAAAGTAGTGCCTAAATACAGACTCATCTATGATTTCGTTTTCACGTTTCATGGAAAGAAGATTCAATAAATTTGACGTATTGTAAATTTTGTTAAAGAATTTTACCAATCTGTGACCTATGTAGGATCTAATTTGTCCTACAGGTATACTACTAGACTGTTAAAGCTATACTGGCTACCGCAGAGTTTATGTGAAAGCTATACATACGCATATACATATTGACCAGTATTGCGTGTCTTATCGAAATGAATAAAAATTATGAGTTACACTAATAAAATAAGATAATAATGTCATTTAATTGGCAGGTCACATGCAACAAACATAGTCTACAGACGCATCAGACCAGACTGACTTGGTGAGCGCTTAAACAACGATTTGATTGGTTAGTTAGTTGTCATCTGAATCGAGTATTTGAACCTCAATGGCTCTGTCCTTTCGTCATAAAATAATATCTTTGGTCTTTTTGAGATAAGCCTTAGCACAATTTAGTTTATTTATTGAGTATATAGATGTCACTAATGATAGTTAGCTATCGTAGTTAAAATGTCTGTTAGTGTGAAGCATTAATTACAACAACTCTTTGGTTGAGTGTCAATGGGAAATGATAACGACGTAATAACAATTAAAACAACAGTGATGTAGAACCATAGCAATAATTTTACCTTTACTGAAAACGATGGAAAAACTG